ATTCAGTCTTTGTTCTGCATTTGCAATTGAATTTTGCTTTCCATGAGCCATATGCAAGCCTGGCAGGATCAGTGGCAGCTGCAGAGTGTGGTGGCCCATGTCCCTTCCTTGTTAGCAACCCAGCAGAGTGCAGGCTCCCCTGGCAGAGCCGGGTGATGCTCACCTGCCCCTCCACCTGCACTCTTCTCACCTGTGCCTCCCCTGCACACCTGGGCTGCAGGTCTGGGGGGTGGCTGCTGCTGCTCCTTGCTCCTGTTTTGCTCTGAAAGCCTGGGATTTGGAACTGTATCTATGTGTAAACGGATTTTCCCAAGTGTCCCACATGCAAGGGAGGTGACGCTCTGGTGGCTGTCCTCTCACTGGGAGAGCTGGTGGGTGGGTGCCCTGGTGGGGGGCACATCTCCTCCCACGGGCTCCTTGCCCTTTGGCATCGGCGCCGTGGCGCTTGGAGACGCAGGTTTCTGGGAGCTGTTCTCTGCAATTTGCAAATTATTGAATCAGCTCAGAAACGGCTGCCCGAGGCTCCTGGCTCGGGTTTGGCAGGAATAGGATCAGACGAGCCTTCTGGTCTGAAAATGTCTGCAAGTGCCTTGGCTGATTTACCCAGATCTGCAGGAAATTGCCACTTTCTCTGTTCCTGCAGAGTAGGCAGCACATCTTGTAAAAGATAAAAACTTCTTTTCACCGTTACTTGCATATCGAGCCTCGCTGTCCTGTCCTGGCTGAGCCCAGTGGGAAGCCCTTGGCCAGCTGGAAAGATTCCAGTGTCTGCAGAGGTGCAGGCACAGCAGGAGTCAGCTCCTTGCTGGCCCCCTCCCCAGCAGGACGGGCACAGGGTGGTGCAGCAGGGACCCCAGGGCCAGTGCAGGCAGCTGGATCCTGCCTGCTCAAGTGTGGGACGCTCTGAGCTGTTCAACAACGTGCATTTGCTGTTTGGAGGGGCAATTAAAGCCACCCCACTGGCAGGTAAATGTCACCTTTCCCTGAGCAGGGCTGTGGTCCTGCTCTGAGGATAGAGCCTGGGGATGCTGCGTGTGTGCAGGTGCAGGCTGGCAGTTTGCAAATATGTAATTTATTGCAAGAAATGTAGATGAGAAAATGCTGCACTTTTTTTTTGCTGACTCTCAGGCTTCAGTGTGAGAAGGCAACACTGCTGAATAGGGCTAAGCTGAGCCAGGACATAACGAGGTAAATCAGTTTCTAGGGAAGATGTTCCATAGCAGGGGTTCTGCCCGAGGGTCTGGCAGCTCTGCAGCACTGAGTGCTTGGGCTGCACCCCATGTCTGGGGGGATTCTGGAGCCCCACAACTGCCTGACATCAGTGGGAGCCTGCAGCAGTGCATGTCCTCTGCTGATGTCCTCCGTGGGATGAGTGATGATGCAGCGAGATCTTGCCTGCCTGGCATCCTGGGATTGGGTGGAGAGCTGCTCAAAGTCAGGGCAAGGTTCTTCATTCAGGCACTCACTGCAGATTTCCAGGTGTAAACTCACAGCAAGGTGCCCTTGTCTGCAGTGCAAAAACCCACGGTTTTAGTTGAGGTTTTTGGGTTTTTTTTTGTAATTTGTGAGCAGCTGGCAAGGGCCCCTGGCCATGCTGCTCTGCCTGGTGTGTCAGCAGGTGCTTGTGTCCCGGGAGCCAGGGGCTGGTCCCAGTTGTGTGGGGGATGGAGAGGAGCCCCCCCAGAGGGAGGACGAGCAGCCTGTGCCCCACTCCCACTGCCTGCTGTGGGCAGGGCTGAACCCGGGCAGGGGCAGGATGCAAAGGGATATGGAAGCACAGTCCCCTCTGGAAACTTAGGAGACCAGGCATGGAATATTAAACAAACTAAAAAGGAAGCAGCTGGCAAGGTGATGCCCATCAAGGATAAAAAATGAGGAGTCCAAAAATAGAGGCTGTTAATTTACAGGAGAGTCATTGCTGACCTTCTCAAGGATGAGGCATCTGACAGGCAGAACTTGTTGCTGCAGGAGTTTGGTACCTCCTTAGGCTGGGTTTGACCTGTAGAATTAAGAACAGGCAGAGGGGTAACCTGGGGTGCTCCCACCCCATTTGCACATCTTGACAGAGGTAGAGCCAGCCACACTGGAGCATTTCACCGTGTCAGGTAACATGCTGGCATCTCCCCTCCCCACCTGTGATTTATCTAAATGTCCTGCCTTGATTTAGAGCCTGTCTGGGAAATAAATCAGATGGACACAATGAGGAGGTGGGATGCTTTAGGGGTTTTTCATTAGGCTGTGGCTTGAGAGAGCATGAGAGGAGTGTGCACTCGGGGTCAGGGTCTGGATGGGAGCACTCAGGGGTCCAGGCAGCCTTGGCTCTGTGCTGAACAGGGCTTTTTAATCAGAATTTCAGTATGTCCGTGGGGCTTACCAAACACGGGGTATTAATTTGAAGGTGCTTTAGGACTGTGATCCTAGGGATGCTTTAAAGAGAGAGACCTCACCTGCCCTTGAGGTGTTGGGAGCTCACTGATGTCCATTGTTCCCCCCAAAATTGGGGAAAAATTCCCATTTTCTCCCTCTCTGGAAGGAGCCAGGAGAGCATCCCTTGGCAGGTGGGCTTTGCCTGCCTAAGAGCTGGGAACAGGTCCCCCCAGCTCAGTCCTGGGGGGCTGGGGGGGCTGGGGTGATCTCAGCCTGCTTTCGGAAACCCTGCAGCCCGCCCTGCCGTAACCGCATTAAGGTATTTCCTTAATTAGATTTACTAAGTATGCAGGATTCTAATTCTCTCTTTTTCCTTCTCTCTTAATTTGCCTAATGAGAAAAACAAAGAAATGAAATTACAGAGGCGATGCCCGCGTTTCCTTCTGGAGAGGCTGGTGCCGGCGGAGGATGCTCTGGCCCGTCCGTGCCTGGCTGTGGCCGTGGCTGGGGTGGATGTGGGCATCAGGGGCAGGCAGAGCCCCCTGCCCGCTGCCAGCTGCCCCCTTAGGGCCTTTGGTTGTCCATGCTGGAGCTGAGCATCTCCTGTGGTGCCAGGGAGAGGCGAGAGGGGAGCTGCCCGGTGTCCCCGTCCTGGCCAGCGTGGGCACCTGCCACCTCTGCTGTGCTTCAGGCTGTGCACAGACTGCACCCTCAGTGTCACTGGGTCACCGAGCAGGGCTGCTGAGAGCCCCCCGAGTCCCCCCTCACTCGTTTATCATCCCCCGAGGGCAACCACTTTGGGAAAAGGGTGCTGGCCCTTGACCCCAGCGCTGGTGGGGGCTGTGGTTGGACTTTGCCAGAACAGATCCTCAGCGCAGAGGCCCGTTACAAGCAGTCCTTGGGGATGGGCTTGTTTTGCTCTCCCGGAACTGCAGGAGCAGTTCCAGCAGTTTGGCCCCAAAGAAGCAGCCAGCATGTGACAGAGGAACATGTTGTTAAGTTGGGTGATTTTATAATACTTAGAATATGATGCTATGGCAACCCACTACAAATCCCAGATCAAATCAAATTGTTTGTGCGCATCTCTGTAACTTTAATCTTTTCAAAGTGGTATCTGTTTTATGCCTTTGAGGCCACTGTGCAGCTGAGTGCAGTCAGGCAGAGCTCAGGGTTCAAAGCAAGGAGAGCAGAGGATGAGTGGCTTGCTCCAGATCAGGCTGTGCTTCAGTGTCCTAGAAAGTCAAAGAGCAAACAAGGAAAATCTGTCGTCCTTGGCATTTTTCAGCATTAGAGACATGGTGAGGCTGTGGAGAGAGAGAGGGAAGGAGCTTGGTAAACAGTGTGGGTGGGTAGGACAGGAATTCCACTATTGCCCCACATTGCTCCAATTAATTTCTTGCATTGAAAAACTGGAAGATTTTCAAGCCAGGAGCTCAAATGAGGTGTAACAATGTAAACTTAACCTGCTCTGATACGAAAAAGAGAGAAAGAAGATTTATTTGATTTAATGTAATGTGAAACACCAGTCCTTGGTCTGGATTCAGGTTTGGGCACAATGCACTGGGTATTTCCCCCAGTGCCTCTGGCACAGCCCAGGTGGTGCCGTGGCTCCCCTGGATGATGCTGCTGGTCCCACTCTGCCTTCCCCGCATCCCTGCTGCCTGCCCACCTCAGCCCCTCAGCACCTCGGTGGCGCAGGGCCCTGCAGGCTGTCACCTGCTGTCACCTTGGGAGGCCAGGGCCCGGGCTGCTGAGGGCAGGTGTCTCAGAGGGTGGGTGCAGCCTGTGGCAGGGGCTGTGTGTTGGAGAGGCCTGGCAGGCTCCGGCGCCCGCGGCGCCATCCCGGGGCGCGCTGCCATGGGAACAAACCTCGTTACCGCCAGATAAACAGTTGGACGTTTTGGCCCGCTTTCTGCAGGACTAACCTGGCAGGGACAAGAGGAAACTAAATTAAATCTCAGATTTTCTGACTCCCGGAGGAGCATCTGGCAGTGCCGCTGCGTGGTGGCGTGGCTGCCTGCCCGGGAAGCGCCGGGCGGCAGGGATGGGAGTTTTGTTCAGGGGAGGGCTGAGGCCCTGCTTTTCCAAAGCTTAGGGGATTTCTGGGGGGGATGTCTTGACAGCTCCGTGGTACAGGGGCTGTTTTCTGCTTTCCTGGGGTCTTGCATCTTCATGATGGCTCCTGGTACTTCCAAATCCGGTGCCAGGTGCCGTGTTGGCAAAGGGGCCCCCAGTTTGGTGCCTCCAAAGCCATGCTGGGTGTCCCTGGGTGTCACTGAGCCTCCTTTGCTGCCAGAAGGCTGCTCAGCCGCAGGTCCTGCCCAGGTGGGGAGGGTGCCAGAGGCAGGGAAGCCGTGGGGATGGCTGGTTCCTGTCACAGGAGCCCAGCCCTGCTGTCCCCTGCTGCACCACCAGCACCACACACGGGGACTCGCAGCCCACCCTGGGCACGGGCTCTTCTGACGACTTTTATCACCTTCTCACACTGTCTGCTGGGTTTTTCCTCAGATTGCAGATATTACCGTACAGGCAGCTGCACACCACGGCTTTGCCAAGGGAGATAACACTTATCTCCTGCCCGGTGGGCTGGCTCGGGCAGCGGGGAGCTGACATGCCTGTCTTTGGTTTTCCAGGAAACAGGAGCTGCTGAACAGCACGGATGTGACCGTCCCGGAGCGGCCCCTGTCCCCCCCGCTGACGGCGCCCCCGACCATGAAGGTGAGAGGTTTGGAGCCCGGAGAGCCGGGCTGGTGGGGAGCAGCACTTCCAAGGCAGCGGCTGCACGGATTCGGGCTGTTCCCCCAGGGGCAGCAGTAGGTGGTTTCTGGAGCTCAGCCGGCAGCCCGTGCCGGCGCCATCCCTCTCTCCCGGCGGTGTGTGCCGCCCCATCCCGCACCGACGCTCCCGTTACAGCCGCGACCGGCGCTGCCGGCCAGGGCGCTGTGTCCGGGGCTGCTTCTGTCCCAGCGACCCTCCCAGCCCCGTGATGGGGGTTCTGTGTGCTAGGTGCCTCTGAGTGCTTCTGTCCCAGCGACCCTCCCAGCCCCGTGATGGGGGGTTCTGTGTGCTTCTGTCCCAGCGACCCTCCCAGCCCCGTGATGGGGGGTTCTGTGTGCTAGGTGCTTCTGTGTGTTTCTGTCCCAGCGACCCTCCCAGCCCCGTGATGGGTGACTCTGTGTGCTTCTGTCCCAGTGACCCTCCCAGTGACCCTCCCAGCCCTGTGCTGGGTGACTCTGTGTCCTTCTGTCCCAGCGACCCTCTCAGCCCTGTGCTGGGTAACTCTGTGTCCGTCTGTCCCAGCGACCCTCCCAGCCCTGTGCTGGGTAACTCTGTGTCCGTCTGTCCCAGTGACCCTCCCAGCGACCCTCCCAGCCCCGTTCTGCACTTCTGTGTGCTAGGTGCCTCTGTGTCCTTCTGTCCCAGCGACCCTCCCAGCCCTGTGCTGGGTAACTCTGTGTCCGTCTGTTCCAGCGACCCTCCCAGCGACCCTCCCAGCCCCGTGACGGGGGGTTCTGTGTGCTAGGTGCCTCTGTGTGTTTCTGTCCCAGCGACCCTCCAAGCGACCCTCCCAGCCCTGTGCTGGGTAACTCTGTGTCCGTCTGTCCCAGCGACCCTCCCAGCCCCGTGCTGGGTAACTCTGTGTCCGTCTGTCCCAGCGACCCTCCCAGCCCCGTGCTGGGTAACTCTGTGTCCGTCTGTCCCAGCGACCCTCCCAGCCCCGTGCTGGGTAACTCTGTGTCCGTCTGTCCCAGTGACCCTCCCAGCCCCGTGTTGGGGCTTCTGTGTGCTTCCCAGTGTGCTTCCCTCCCAGCGACCCTCCCCGTTCCCGTGCCGGGTCCCTCGGTGTGTTTCCCTCCCCGTCCAGCGACCCTCCCAGCCCCGTGATGGGGGGTTCTGTGTGCTTCCCAGTGTGCTTCCCTCCCAGCGACCCTAACCCATTCCCGTGCCGGGTGGCTCGGTGTCCCGGGTCCCTCGGTGTGTTTCCCTCCCCGGGCATCCCGAGCTGTGCGTCCCAGCAGGCACCTGCCTGTGCCCTGCAAACCCCACCTGCTCCTGCCCAGCCCGTTCCGGGCGCTTTGCCTGCCGGGGAGCCACCCTTTGAAACAAGACCGCTGTCCTGCTGTGCCTCTGGCTTGAGGAGCACCAGCAAAGGGCTGTGGCTGCTGCTGGGTGCCCGAGAGGAGCTCTGGCTGCGGGGCTGATGCAGGGCAGCGATGCCACGAAGGTAACAGATCCCTTGCAGGGCTCGGCGCGGCGGGGACAGTGCTGGGGAGGGGTGCACAGCTCTGCTCCTGCCTGGTGCAGGGTTTCTTCCCGTCCTTTCCTGTGTGGCCCAGGAAAGCTGGCTCTCAGTGTGCCCGGCTCTCTGAAGGGCTGCATGCTTTGCTCAGTACGTGTGCCATTTTCTGTGGGACTCACTGTAGCAGCCGGGTCCAGTGCCACTGCAGGGTCAGGTCTTGGCTCTGGATACTGGTAGAGCAGGACCTGAAACGACCCAAGAACATTTTTACCCGGAAATAAACAGAATCCAAAGCAAGCTCAAACTAAGGAAGACTTTTTAAAGAATATTCTGCTGTGGGTACAGAGCTGTCTGAGCCTGGGGTTTTTCTTTTTGACTCCCACAGGTGTGTTAGGTAAGGAGGGACATGGTCTAAAGCTGGAAACAGCCAGGGTTGTGTCTGAGCCACAGCTGCCCCACCTGTGCTGGCAGCCATAGACTGCTCGTGCTGTAAATCCGACCTTTGCTCACCACAAGTATTAAAGGAAAAGATTTCTCTCAGACTTTTCCTTTGATTTTCATTTCTTCATCCCCTCCTCTTTGTCCTTTATTTATTTTTTTTTTTGTCTTTTGAGAAATTCAGTCTATTCTAAGCCCTCGCTAAAAATCATCCCCCTTGCCTTGACCCCTTTTTTTTGGCCCCAGGTCACGCATGTCTCTCCCGTTTCTGGCAGCCGGTAGGGTGGCAGCTGCTGGTCCCGCTCCTCGCTCCCCGCTCGGGCTGGCGGCGCTGCCGTGGCCCCGCCGCTGCTGCTCCGCACCGGGGGCAGGGCCGGGCCCGGCGAAAGCAGGGCAAAAAAAAACCAAAAAAACCCAAAATAACAAAAAAACCCCAAACAAACAAACAAAAAACCCGAAAAAAACCCCAAAAACCCCAAACAAACAACAACAAAAAAAAAAAAACCCAAAACAACAAAAAAACCCAACCAACCAACCAACCAAAAAACCCGGAAAAAAACCCCAAAAACCCCCAAACAAACAAAAACAAAACAAAAAAAAACCCACCAAAAAACCAACCAACCAACCAACCAAAAAACCCGAAAAAAAACCCCAAACAAACAAAAACAAAAGCAAAAAAAACACCAAAAAACCAACCAACCAACCAAACAAAAAACCCGAAAAAAACACCAAAAACCCCAAACAAACAACAAAAAAAAAACCAAAACAACAAAAAAAAAAAAAAACCCAACCAACCAAACAAACAAAAAAACCTAAAAAAAAAAAAAAAAAAAGGGTAAAAGGAGAAGGGACGGGCGGGGGCGGCGCGCCTCCGGAAAGCCGCTTAGGGGCTCACCGGGAGAGCCGCGTTACGGCCGCGTTCCTTTTGGCTGGGTGGTTCATTTGTGTGCACCGGGCCGCAGAAGAGCGGGGACAGCGGTCGGACTGCCCAGCAAGCCCTCGGTCCTTGTCGCCGAGCCCCCCGTCCGCGTGGCCCGGGTGCGGGGACACTCGCCCTGCGGCTCCTGTCCCGTGCTGACCGGGCAGCAGGAACAGGGCTTGCTGCAGGAGCTCTGTAATCTCTTTAATTCCTGTGCCAAGGGGGGTTAACCCTGCGCTGGGCAGCCCGGCAGCCAGGCAGCAGCTTCAGCGATGCTGCTGTGATGCAGAAAGCAAATGATTCACGTCCCCTGACCGAACGTGCTCAAAGCTCGGCGGTTTTGGGGCTCGAGGGCTGCTGGCAAGGGCAGTGCAGCAGTGATGCTGAGCTCCGGGTGGGGCTGCACGGGAATCCCGGTGTCACAGCTGCCTGGTGGCATTCAGGGAGCGGGACAAGTGCTCAGGTGGGGGTCCAGCGTCCCTGCTGTGCTGTGGCTTGGGCTGGCTTGCCTTGTGTCTGCTCTTATGGAACAGTAGATTTCCTTCTTTTCTTTTCAGTCGGCAGAGTTCTTCGAAATGCTGGAAAAAATGCAGGTGAGCAGCAGTGTGCATGCCAGTAACTCGGGACGTTGGCCCCAGCAGAGCCCCTGAGGGCAGAGGGCCTGTCCCAGGGCAGACCTCACCTTCCAGCCACTTGGGTTGGAGTGATCTCCATGTAGCAAAAATACCCTCGTGTTGGTGGACCTGTGTGGGTAAAAGCACCTAAATTGTTTGACACATCCATTTTTTTCCTAACAGGCACCAAAACTGGAAGAACAGAGGTCTGGAAGCCAAAAACACAAGGTTGGTTGATTTTTTGTTTCTTGAGGGGAGCTCTTCAAGTGTCCACTCCCCATCTCAGAGGTTTAATGTGATCGTCAAAGACAGTCACTCAAAGGGCTGGAAAGGATTTAGATGTTATCTAAAAACAAGGCACTGATTGAACTGCAGAGATGGGAGCAGGGTGCCTGTAAATCCCTAATCCAGCTTTATGTCCAGAGCATCTCAGCTTCCAGCTGTGCAAAAGGGTTGGGCTTTGCCACTGCCCTGGGAAGTTGCAGCAGTAGAGGAGCTCCCTTTAGGCAGGACTGGGCCTGCATTGGTGCCTTCTGAGAGGGACCAGCCGGTGCTGGAGGCACTCCCTGGCTTGGGTGGGCAGGGCTGGGGTTTTCAGGGTTTTTTTGCTGGCGGGGAGCAGATGGTCACAGATGATGTTTTGGTTCCTTTTTCCAGGAAGACTACATCCCATACCCCAGCATCGATGAGGTGGGTGAACCTGAACCCCCTGAACACCTTCTGGGGAATGCCTTTCCAAAATTGCTGATGGCAGAGGAATTGGTGGAGATTCTGTTTCTGAGAGGAGCTACACGAAGCCTGTTCCCCCTCCCCACCTTTGTGGCTTTTGGCTTTTCCTCAGTAGCATGTGCCCTCTTCTGTGACAGAGAGGAGGTTTCAGAGAGGGGCTGCACTTGTCCCTGCTGGTGCTGGGGTCTGCTGCAGTAGGGGGGCAAACCGTGGAGCAATGAGCTCTGATCCCACATGCACAGCCCTGTCCTGCCTGACCCCTCGTGGCACGTGTCTCTGCAGATCCTGGAGAAGGGCAGCCCCTACCCGCTGATCATCCTGCCCCAGTTTGGGGGATACTGGATAGAAGACCCAGAAAACCTTGGCACGCCCACCTCCTCTGACAGCAGCATCTGCGAGGAGGAGGAGGAAAACCTCAGCCCCAGCAGCTATGGCTACAAGCTGGAGTGCAAGGGAGAGGCCAGAGCCTACCGCAAGCATTTCCTGGGGAAGGTGGGTTCCTCCACCCCGCGGGGCTCAGAGCTGCACTCCTTTGCGTGAGAAAACTCTCCAGCTGGGAGCAAAACGGGCAAGTTTCACAATTTCCCTCTTTGGAGGGAATGGAGACGCTGGTGTGTTCCCAGCATGGCACTGGTGGCCACGCATGTGGCCTTTGTCCCTGGCCCCACAGGTCTCCTGTGACACCAGGGGGGACGTTGGCTCTGAGCCTCCTGCCCTGGGCACCTGGGGCTCAGCCACACACTGAGTGGCAGCCCTGCCCTGCTCACAGCCCTGCTCCTGGCAAGGGGGTGTGGGTGGTGGGAGGTGTTGGGCTAGCAGGTGAGTCTCCAGGCAGTGTCCTTGCCACCAGTGAGTTGCTTCCCGGCTGCTAACGTGCTGTTTTCTATTTTTAGGATCATTTAAATTTCTACTGTACAGCTAGCAGCCTTGGAAATCTGATCCTTTCTGTTAAATGTGAGGAGACAGATGGCACAGAATATTTAAGGGTTATACTCAGGTATGGGAAAAAAAAAGTCTTTGTTTAACAAAATATTCTCTGTTTGGGAGTCCCTGGTTCTGTTTCTACAGCAAGTGCTTGAGCTGGGCTGGCAGCACGTGGAGGGGGTCTGGGTGGGATGGGAGGCAGTGGCAGCACCCTGTGTTTCTGTGCTGGGACTGCCTAAACCTGACAATGAATGTGAGGCTTTGATCTGTCACTAAACCTGCTGGAACTGAACATAAACCTCTGTGGCTTTAATCCTCCCTGGGATAACACCAGTCACTTCCCTCACCATCCCTCTGTAAGCTGACAGGACCCAGCATGTCTGAACCATTGTGTCATTTCCCTCGAACTATGAATATTTTAAGAGATGAGAAGACAAATCGAGCCTTTGCTCCCTAACCAGGCCAGCAAATGCAGCACAGCTGTGTTTCCCAGCAGTGGGTGTTGCTTTGCTCTAGCCACTCCCTGACATCTGTCTGCTCGTTGTTTCTTTGCTAGGTCCAAAGTGAAGACATTGCATGAAAGGATTCCTCTGGCAGGATTCAGCAAGCTCCCGAGCATCCCCCAGATTGCAAAGGTGAATGGCCTGGCTTGGCTGGAGCTCTGCAGCACAGCCTGGGCCAGGGCACAGCAGGCACTGCTGGGGAGTGCTGGGCAGCAGTGCTGGGCTCTCAGGGGTGCTTGGGTGCTGCTGTGTGCTTGTTTTCCTGCTGGTGCCAGGCAAGGAGAGCACATGGCACTCGTTTGACATGGAGGGACCTGGGGCTTGGCTTGCTGCCTCCTCACTGGGGCCAGCCAGGCCCAGGGGCATCCCAGTGGTGGATGTGCAGTGGGGACCTCCTGCCATTGGAGGTTTATTTGGCTTCTTTGTCAGACATTCGTGGCTGAAGTGGTGGCCAGGGACTGGCACTGACTGCTCTTTCCCCTTGCCCACAGGCCTTCTGTGACGATGCCTCGGGGCTGAAGTTTAACCCAGTTCTCTACCCCAAGGTGAGGTGACTTGCCCAGGCTGCTCGTGTGTTCTGCAGGGACTCTGAGAACCACACCCAGGGCCACTGTGGAAAACTGTTGGCCTAATTATGTGGGAATTTGGCTTTTTTCCCCCTTCCACTCCCCTGATGCTGCCCAGCTGCAGCTCTGCTGGGCCCTCCTCACCCCTCACCGTGGATCTTTTGGCCGTCACATTTTGAACCACCAGATGAAACAATTGGCGTTTTGCTTTCCTGCAGGCATCCCAGATGATAGTGTCTTATGATGAGCATGAGGTCAACAACACATTCAAGTTTGGTGTGATCTATCAGAAGTTCAGGCAGGTGAGTTGTCCCCACGCTGCTTTCATGGAGCACAGAGAGCCACGTTTCACGAGCACAGGCTCAGCTCTGACCTCAGTTCTGCCATGTGCAGCACCTGGTGTCACTGCATGCCCTCACTGACTGTGGTTCTCATTGCTCGGATGTTTTCCCCACTCATTAAAAAATTATATGACTGAAAAGTCTCGGTATGGAAATCAGCCCACAAGCTGCTGCAGGGGAAAGCGGATGTGAAAATGGATTTTAGCAGGCGTGGTATTTTAATCAGATATATGTTTAGACAGCTATAACAGCTCCGTTTGTCTGGAGGGACTGTGGGCTCTGAAGAGAGCTTGCTGAAAATGCTGTCGTTAGCAGGGGACTCTGGATGGGGAGTGCAGAACTCAGCCTCAGAACTCACTGAGAATTACTCTGACAGGCACTCTGCATATTGCATTTTGGGCTGGATTGAGTGACTCACGCAAGGCCATAATTAGAGTCTCGTTGTTTTGAAATGCAGCAAGCAGGAGATGATTAGGGATTTTTCAACAGAGGATTCTCTTCTGGTTTGGTGTTTCCTGGATGTTACCCTAAGGTCCTTGCTGGGGCTCAGGGCAGGCTCTCAGCAGCCTGGCCCTGGGCTGTCCTGGATGCTGGGCAGGCTGTGGCAGCCCATGGGTGAATGTGGTGCTGGGGAGCAGCCTGTGGCTGTGCAGGACACCGTGGGACAAGGTGCTGGTCAGAGCCCAGGGACCCGTGGATGGAGCTGGAGGTGGCAGGGGAGTGGGCAGGCAGGGAAATTGGGCTGTCAGCAGATGCACCCTGTGTTTTGTAGACCCAAGAGGAGGAGCTGTTTGGCAATAATGAAGAAAGCACTGCCTTCAAGAACTTCTTAAGTTTTCTGGGAGACACCATAACTCTCCAGGACTTCAAAGGGTAAGTTAAATAAAAAGGATGATTTTACAAATACATTAACAAGAGACCATGTCATATGTAAAAATATCTCCGTGTGAGAACAGAAGTCATCTCGCTCATGAGCGGGATGTGCGGAGCAGAAGCAAATATAGTTTTGGCTTGTTTTTCAAAGCTGGGGGAGTTAAAAAAAAAAATGGAGCTGCCAAGAGAGAAAAATTTCTTTTCCTGCATTTTGAGGTTGTGATAAAATCTGGCTATATTCAGCCATAGATGGAAGGCAGTCTGTGGCAACGTGCTGTGCCTTGTGTCGTGGCTCAGCCACGGGTGCCTGCAGGGCAGTCCCTGCAGCAGCCACGGTGCAGGCAGAGACCCCCACTGCTGGTGAGGGATGGCGAGGCCACGGCTCGTGCCCGGGGCTGTGGGCAGCCCTGGCTGACCAGCCCTGCTTTGTGTGCACCCTGTGTTGCAGGCTGGTGGCAGCGATGGCTGGTTACAGCACATGACGCACGGCTTGTTCTTTCCCATTTGCTGGCTGCTAGATAAAGATAAATGAGCTGGGCTGCTCCATCAGCCTGTCCCCTGACAGCCGCTGGTGCTCTCTGTGAAGCTTTCAATTAACATCTCTTGGTTTCTCTCCGCCTTTCCCTTGATCTCCAGTTTTCGAGGAGGCCTGGATGTCAGCCACGGGCAGACGGGAGTGGAGTCTGTGTACACGGTGTTCAGGGACAGGGAGATAATGTTTCATGTCTCTACAAAGCTGCCTTTTACCGAAGGAGACACGCAACAAGTAAGAGAGATGGGGCTGCTTGCACAGAGGGGCGTGAGTGGGGTGCCCTGCCCGGTGCCACACACTGGCACCATGGCAAGTGGCTGCTGGGCTCCCCAGCACGGGGCTGGCACTTGCTGCTGCAGGAGCAGAGCTGCCTGGTTTTACTGACCCAGCATTCTCCCTTTTGGTTTAGCTCCAGAGGAAGAGGCACATTGGCAATGACATTGTGGCAATTATCTTCCAAGAGGAGAACACGCCATTCGTGCCAGACATGATCGCCTCCAACTTCCTGCACGCCTACATCGTGGTGCAGGTGGAGAACCCCGGGGCAGACAATACAGCATACAAGGTGAGGGCAGTCCCTGTGTCACCCACCCAGTTTTGCTTCAGCATCTTGTGACAAGGGCATGGAGTGACAGGACAAGGGGGAATTAGAGATTAGGAGGAAATTCTTCCCTGTGAAGGTGGTGAGGCCCTGGCACAGGTTAACCCTGTGCTCAGTGATGCAGTCAGTGTGGGGACTTGTGCCTGTGTGCTGAGCACACACACATGTGCACACAGGTGTGCTATGTGTGTGCTGTGACACAATGTGTGTGTATGCAGGCATCAGTGCATAAAACACGTGTTTGTAAAACAGCTCATTTGTTAAAGAGTTTTGATGGTCCTCAGCATTTGAATGGAACAGTCTGACATGTCACCTGGGTGTAGGTGGCATAAACCCTGTTATCCTGCTGCCCCCGTGGGAATAACCTGTCTCTTGACTCCTCAGGTGTCAGTCACAGCCCGGGAAGACGTTCCCTCCTTTGGCCCACCCCTGCCGAGCCCACCGGTGTTCCAGAAGGTAGGGGCTGAGAGGGAAGCATGCTCCAAGCTGTAAAAAAAGTAGATGTGCATTTCCAAGGTGTTTGCAAGTTGGGGAAAACGGGACTTGTGGAGCTGACCTGCATTAATTTTGGTTCCATTGAGGCTCCTGGTTTATGGTAGGGTGAGTGGCCCTGCGGCACTGCATGGCATTACTGGAGCAAGGTGGCAGCAGCAGCTCTGGTGCTGAGGGACTGTGTTGGTGCAGGCGGGCACCTCAACCCTCCTGGGGCTTTCCACCAGTGCATCCACATCTGGAGGGACTGCCAGGCGCTGCGAGCTTGGGTTTTGGGTTGGTACAGCTGTGGTGCCAGAGTGCCAGAGTCCTAAAATGGTGGGTGTCTTCCACGTCGCTTCTGTCCCCGCAGAGCCCCGAGTTCCGGGAGTTCCTGCTGACCAAGCTCATCAACGCCGAGAACGCCTGCTGCAAGTCCGACAAGTTTGCAAAGCTGGAGGTAACGCTGCCCACGTGTCCCTGCCTGGAGCAGCTCTGGGGAGTTGTCCCACTGCTCCTCAAAGGCGCCTTTCCCTGCTGAACCGGGTCAGTGCTCGCAGGGACGGGAGCGTGGTGACCGTGGGGCGGCTCTGCCCTCGGGGAGGCACGGGCTGCTGCCGTGGATCCGTGCCACTGCTGCTCCCTTGGAGCCTGGCTGAGCCCTGGTGTCCCCTGTAGGGCCAGGCATGGGCTGCTGCCATGGATCCGTGCCACTGCTGCTCCCTTGGAGCCTGGCTGAGCCCTGGTGTCTCTGCAGGGCCAGGCTCAGGCTGCTGCCATGGCTCCGTGCCACTGCTGCTCCCTTGGAGCCTGGCTGAGCCCCGGTGTCTCCCGCAGGACCGGACACGGGCTGCCCTGTTGGACAACCTTCACGACGAGCTGCACGGGCACACGCAGGCCATGCTGGGGCTGGGGCCCGAGGAGGACAAGCTGGAGAATGGGGGACATGGAGGCTTTCTAGAGTCTTTCAAGGTAAAGCCCTGCCCTTGCCAGCAGCACAGCTAAAATGCACCTGGGCTTGGCAGAGTGCATGTGGGGGGACAAGAGATGCCCCCCGAGGGTTGGGTGGCAAGCGGAGCTGGGGGCTGCTGCCACCACTGCCTGCTCAGCCTGCCAAGTGCCCACGCTGGTCCCAGTGGGAGCTGCAAAAGCTGGCACTGTTGCATTGTTGGTGAGTGTCCCCATTGGAGTGACTTCTCCAGAGTTCCTGAGCACCTCTCTACCAGTGTGTGCAGCATTTTTTGTGTCCCCAGAGGGGTCTCAGTTCAGGCCAGAGTGTGTCACAGAGTGTGCCTGCAGCTGGGCTCTGCTGTGGCAGGACATGTCCTGCTCATGTTCTGCTCTGCTGTGGGACAGGGATCAGGAGGGGTGCCTGGGGCAGCTGCCACAGCAGCAGCTGGGGTGGTGGTCGCTGTGCTTAAAACTGAAGTTGGAAAGAATGTGCTGGGTGTGGAGTGGGGAAGTGGTGCTGAGTGTGCCAGGGAGACTGGGTGAGTGGGAGGGAAAGCAGGTGATGTGGGCTGGAGGAGAAGGAATGGGTGAAGTGCTGTGGAGGGAACTCTGAGCAGCCACTGGCAGTAGGGACAGTGACTGGCTGGGCAGCAGGGACACCCTTGAGATGGAGGGGCAGCACCTGAGTCTGAGGGCACGAGCCATTGCCAGGTGTCTGTGGTGCAGCTCCCTGCAGCACGGAGCGGGCTGGCACTGCGTGGCTGTCACTGACTGTCCTGGCTGTGACTGCTGGGACAGCTCAGGCACGGTTATTTCTGTAGCACAGAGGAGTGAGACTGGTGAATGAGCCACCTCATCCTGTACCAGGAGGATGGGGCTGGGGAGGAGGGGTGCACAGCTCCCCAGACCCCGCTGCAGAGGCTCAGCTGTGTCCTGTTCCCATGTCACACGTGTAGGAAGGGCTCTGCCGCGCAGCGTTCACCTCCGGGTCTCAGCGTGGGGTTAAGCAGTGATGTTCTGGCACACCTGGTGCGTGCCAGCAGGCAGACCGTGCTCTCTTGGCATTGCAGGGAGTGCTGGGGTGGGAGGTGAGCCCCCTGCTCCGTGCTGGGCGCCTCGGGCCCGCGCTGCTGGGCTGCCTGCTGGCTTACGTCCTGCACCGCGCGCTCTCGGAGTGACGGGGAGCACACACACCAAGGAGGGCTGCAGGGGCTCAGACCTCATCACCAAGGAGGGCTGCAGGGGCTCACACCTGCTCCCCTATCCTATATCCTTTTTGTCCACTGCCGTGCCCCTACGACCCAGCCTGCAGACCCACCCCCTTGGCCAGGCGAGCAGGGGACCACTCCTCAGAGGTGAGCAGAGCTCAGTTCTGCTGGGCTCTGAGTGAGTGAGAGGTCACAAGGCCTTTGCCTCTTGTGTGGGGAAAGGAGTCACTCCTCAGGGCTGGGGTGTTGGGGACCCCCACAGAGTTCCACAGGAGCCTGCAGAGTGAGTGCCTGTGGCTGCTGCTTTGCAGCAAAGCGACTGATCACTTTTACCTAAGAACAACATCAAATTGTATATGAATGCTGCTGACCCCAATAAATTCAGTCTGGTGGACTCTTGCTTGATGTTCGTTATTGGATGGGCAGGAGGGGCTGTTGGGGCTATGGGTTCAGCACTGCAGGCTCAGTGAGAGCTCGGGGCTGCAGCTCCTCTCACCCTGTACAGCTCCACCGGTGGCTCCGTGACCCCGGAGCCAGCAGCAAGCAGCCTGCGAGCTGCAGAGGCAGTGCTGGCACCCTCTGGAATCTGGCTTGCCGTGGCTCATTTACTCTTCAGCCTGGGCTGGGATTCAGCCATGGCTGTGGGAATAGCTGAGGGGAGAACGGGTTGCTGATGTGAAGAGTGAGGGAAGGGATGTGGGGGAATGAAGGCCCACAGGAGCAGGGAGAGCCCTTGGCTGCCGTGGGGCCAGTGCTGCACACTCAGCTCCAGTCCCTTCCAGAGGTGGATAGACCAAACCAGGAGCCACAGCAGCGATTCAGGCTAGATGTATTCTCAAGCAGTAGCTTGTTGAAGAACAGAAGCACTTTCATGTGGCTGTGAAGCCTCCAGCTCAGGGGCTGTTTTGGGAACAGGCTGGAGAGGTGCAGGAGAGGTGCAAGAAAGGCAGGAGAGGATCTATCCTCCCTGAGTCCAGGCAGAATTGTGGAGGGCGTGCACACAGACATGGCTTATGGCTTGGCTGTGGTCCCCATTCCTGCCGTGGGGTCTGGGAGGTTGGCCAGGCAGGAGGCAGGGCTCGGGGCTGCTGTCTGTGTCTCCTGGTCCCAGAGATGGAGTCCTTGGTATCACAGAGCAATGGGGGGAAAATCTGATCCCGTGGTGGCTGTGGGGCTCCCGGGGCAGCCCATGCTGAGCTGCACCTGAGGGCTGCTGTCAGGAGTCGTGCTGCTGCTGGGGCGTGCTTGCTCTCGTGGAGGCACAGACAGGTTGCTCTGCCTTGTGCCTGGGGACGACCTGCAGCTGGGGAGGAGCTGTGGGGCCAGCACCCTCTGGGTGGTGATGACCTGCTGTCCCCTGTGCCACAGAGAGCCATCCGGGTGCGCAGCCACTCCATGGAGACGATGGTGGGCAGCCAGAAGAAGCACCATGGCAGTGGCATCCCAGGCAGCCTCAGCGGGGGCATTGCACACAACAGCGGCGAGGTGACCAAGACCACCTTCTCGGTGAGCACGTCCACGTGTCCCTCTGTCCCTCTGTCCCACTGTGCCTTGCTCTTCCCACCCCTCCCCAGCCCAACGGGTCGCTGCGTGCCGCCGATGCAGCTTGGCAGTCCCTGCAAGGGCAGCGAGGGTCAGGGTGAGGGGGAGGCTTGAGCAGGCTGTGCCTTTGGATGCCTTGTTCAAGTTGGGCTCGTTTTGTGGAAGAACCAAAGATAAGCTTCCTGGGGTTTTGGCCCCAGAGTAAAAGGAGATAGAAGTTCTGGCGTTGTGGGGTTTTTAGATGCGCAGGCAGCGCAGTTCCTGGCAGGATGTTTAGCCTCTGATGTCCCAGGAGAGAGCTGTGCTCTCAAACCCAGCTTGTTCTGTGCTCTCAGCCCCCTGTCCCAGCTGTTGCTGCCAAGAACCAGTCCAGGAGCCCCATCAAGCGCCGCTCAGGGCTGTTCCCTCGCCTGCACACGACTTCGGAGAGCCAGGCGGAGAGCAGGACGAGGTGGTAAGTTTGTGCTGGTGCCACTCTCACAGTTTATAGCTGGTGTCAGGTAGTGCAATGTGACCATCCTTTTAAAGTCTCTTGTATAACTCGTGCAACCTGTCTCTTTGTGCCCGCAGCGACAGTGTTTCTGGAGCCCAGAAGACACCAGATTTGGGACATTCTTCCCAAGAGATGAAATCTGAAACCTCATCCAACCCCAGCTCCCCTGAAATATGCCCCAACAAAGACAGGTGAGCCCGGAGGAGCCCATCCTCCTTCCACCACAGCTCAGCAGACGCCAAGGAATCTGTCAAACAAAACCATATCTAAATTTTACTGTAAATAAGTTTGATATTAAGGGAGAAAAGGCTCTGGTGATTCTTGGGCACAGCTCCTTTTTGGTCCTTACGAAGAAGAGCAGAGAGCAGCGTTTGGCCTCAGGACACAGGAGGCTGCTGTGCCTGCTCCTCCCTGCCAAGGCGAAGTCAGCTCTGCCTGGGGCTTCCTGCTGGGCACCCAGCCCGTGCCCTGTCCCACGCCTTTGGAAGTGGTTATGTGCTGCAGCACCCCAAAAGGTTCACTCCTACGGCAGCACTTTGCTGCGGGGGTGTGCAGGAGGCCTGTCCCCCGTCACAGTCCAAGGGACACGCTGCCCTGGTGACAGCCACGCGCCCTTCCTTCCGTTCCGCCTCTCTCCAGGCCTTTTATCAAGCTGAAAGAGAACGGGCGCTCGAACATCTCCCGTTCCTCCTCCAGCACCAGCAGCTTCAGCAGCACGGCGGGGGAGAGCGAGACCCTGGAGGAGTACGACAGCGTGGTGGGTACCAAGGCTCCCCGAGGGCACCCCTGAGCTCCCCTGGGCTCCCTGCTGCCTGCAGACCCCCGGCTCGGGGGGATGTGCCTGCCAGCCCCCGGGGGACTCCTCGCTGAGGAGGGGGAGAGGCTGAACCCGTCCCGGGGTGTGGGGAGGAGGAGGAGGAGGAGGGCTGGTGTGCCTGGGACACCGGGGGCTGTGGCTGCCCCATCCCTGGAGGTGTCCAGGGCCGGGCTGGACAGGGCTGGGAGCAGCCTGGTCTAGTGGAAGGTGTTGCTGCCCACGGCAGGGAGGGTCTGATTAGGGGGTCTTTAAGGTCCCTTCCAAACCAGGAACCCAAACCCCTCTGTGATTCCGTGGCACCCCAGTGAGCCCTGCAGTGCCCAGGCCAGGGGCTGCGGTGGGGCATTGGCAGGGTGTGGGGGAAGACCCGGCTGCAGGAAAAGCCTTGTCCTGTCTGTGAGCAGGGAAGCCAGCCCTCCACCGCCTCCCCGTTCAAGCAGGACGTGTTCGTGTACAGCGCTTCGCCCGGCAGCGAGAGCCCCGGCGGCGCGGCCACCCCGGTCATCATGAGCAGGAGCCCCACAGGTGGGTGACAGGCACCTGGCAGGGACACCGGCTCTGCCTTCGCTCCCGGGGCTGCCCAAAGCCACAGCCCCGGGTGCCGTGGTGGTGGGCTGGGATGGGGGGCCCCCTGCCAGCCCTGCCGGGTGCCGGGAGCAGCGGCTGTGCTCACCCCGGCAGGACAGGCACCCAGGGCTGCGGGGCAGCCCCATCCTCACAGGGCTGGCCTGCAGAGATGGCCCCACGGGCTGTGGGTCTGTGCTTCCGTGGGGAACGTGTTTCCTTTCTCAATCAGGTGGCTCGTGCTGTTCGTGCTGCGGCTTTGCTCCCTCTGTCTCCCCTGACATGTGCAGTAGTCGTGGAAACTGTCTCCAGAGGCTGAGCCGTGACTCACAATCACTTAATCAACACTCAGCTTCCCGTGGTCTTGGCTGCATCCTGCCCTGCCAGCCCGCTCTCCCGCTCCATCCCTTTCGGTCGGGCGGTTTGCACAGCGAGGTGCAGCTCAAGAGGGCCAAGCTCTTTGCTGCCCCATCCTCAGTGAGAGGGGGCATGGCCACACTCACCCCTCGCCCACAAATCCCCGTGGCTCTGGGTCCTGGAGCCACACTGTCAGCTGAGGAGCTGCTTTTGAAACAGCCGGGAAGCACAAATACACCCAAACAGCTCTGTAACTGGCAAAATGGGACCGTGGAGGGCAGGCAGGATTTTTGTGTCTCAGCACCCCACAGGTCCTCCTCCTTACTTCACTAGTGGTTTTCTGAACCCTTAAACCAGCCCCTTTTAATGCTTGAAGTGTTTATTTTGTATTTTTCCTGCCAAGAACATGAAAATCCACCCATACATTATATGGATCAGTCATTCCGTGTAGCCTTTTCAGTGGCATTTCCAGGAGAAAGACTGTGAAATGTAATTAAGCCTCAATTTGTTCCATTGCAAACACTTAATGTACAGCTTTTGCCAAACATTCAGCCAAGGCAGACTAAATATTGGTAGCACTCCTGACAGCCTATTAAAGTGCCTAGCTGGGCGAGTGCAGCCGGTACTACAGCAAATATTTTTGTTCACAGTTTATTATTTTTGTTCTTTGTTTGTCCTCTCCCTCCAGCAGATCTAAAGAACAGAAATTCTCCGAGGTCCAACCTGAAGTTTCGCTTTGACAAGCTCAGCCATGGCAGCTCCAGCATGGTGGGTGCCAGGGCTCTCCCTGGGGGGATGCTGTGCCCTGCTCCTCCCTGCCTGGCACGGGGGTCTGGGCTCTGGGGGGTGGCTCTGGGGCCTGTGAGGGGGAAAAGGGAAGGGATTTTGCCACTTCTTGCCCCTTTGTTTGCCACTCATGCCGTGTGCTGTTCTTTCACACAGAGCCACTAGCAGGAGGGAGTCAGGAACTTGTCACAGGTGAGCGTTGGTGTGCTTTGTCTTGTGCAAAAAGGCTGTTTGGGAGCCAGCTGTGTTATTGCTTATGGGATCCATCCTGTGCCTTAGAACACCTGAAATGCTGCTGTAGGTGAGGGAGGGAGAGGGCAGGGATCCATGGAGCTCTGCACCCTCCAGTGCTGCTGCTCCTTTCTGCAGCTCCTGCTCCCAGCCCAGCAGCTTGCACCTTCCCAGCTAACCTCTGTCACACACTGGTGCCCATCTCCAGGTTTGCTGTGCTGTGCTCTGGGCACTGGGGTGGAAAGGCAGTGCAGGCCCTTACCCATTCCAAAAATCCGAGGGGAAATGGAAGATACACGAGATGGATTTCCTGGGTTCCTTCTGTTCTGTGAAATTAAGGGTGTCATTAGGAAGATCCAAACTGAGCAGAAGAGCCCACAGAACTTGAAATGAGAGAAAGTTACATTTCTGAAAGCGTGGGTCTCAAAAAGCTGGGATTTTCACCTGATCACTGGGTTTCTCTCTCCCACAACCTGTGAGTGATGGCTGGCCTGGCATTTTGGGGAAGGGCACAGCCGTGGCTTCAGCTCCCTCCCTGGGACAGGTGCTTCATAGCCAGCACCTCAGGGCTGGGAATATTCTCCTTCCACGCTCCTGACTTTTATCCTTTTCTTCTTTGCACAGAATGTTTCAACAAAGGGAAAAATCTTCAACACCCCCCGGGAGCACGCACGCCCCGGCCGTGGGCGGCCAGGTGCCCTCGCTGCTGCACCAGAAAAGAGCTCTCACCTTGCCACAGTCCTGTCCTGACAGGGACCAGCCGCCTTGTCACCCGGTGTCCCCCCGTCCAGCACACCCCTGCGTGCAGCAGGGGACGTGTCCCTGGCTGTGCTGCACGCCTGGCAGGGCCGTGTCCCCTCCTGGGTCACCTGTGCTTGCCCAGATGTGCTGCAGCTGGTGGGCACCGCCCATTCCCCCCGTCCCTGCGTTGCCTGGCAGCTCCTTTTGGGCAGAGGGGCAGCAGGAGAGACCTCCACAGAGTTTAGGTCCCTCCGTGCTTTATTTGCAGTTATCAGTGGGGTTTATGTTTGTTTTTTGAAGGGGGGGGTCAGGCCAAAGTTGGGTGTTAGTGGCTCTGGGGCAGTTTGCCCTCCACCATTGTTTGCTGTTGTTCTTCTCGGGGGACAATGGGACAAAACCTCCCTGGGGGGGTCCTGGGCAGCTCTCCCTGGAGTGGGGTCTGCAGTGTCTCTCCAGCTGTCCCCCAGCTCCTGCCTACACCCCAAAACCTCGGGGCAGAGGCAGCCCCTCGCTGCAAACTTGCTCAGTTTCTTGCACAAGAGGCAGGTGAGTGACAGCCCAGGGAGTGGAGCTGGGGACAGCAGCCAGCTCATCCTCCTTGGCAGGTTCACCCTCCCTGCTTTGTCCCTGCCTGACACTGAGCACAGGCCTGGGAAAGGTGACCCAAAGCTAAAGCTGTGCTGTATTACAGCTTAACTTTTCTAAGTACTAGAACTGGAACCAGAGGGGATTTACCTGGTGGGCTCTGCTTTGCCCTATGGCTTGGATCACCACGCAGGCAAATGCATAAAACTCTGGTGATTTGTGAGGCATTAGGCTGCTCCAGCCCTTACAGAGTCTCTCCTGCTGCTTTTGAGCCAGCTCTTGTTATTCTGAAAGGATTATAGATTCTGCAAGGTAACTTCCCATAATGCCCTTTCCCAGAAAATACCTCTCTCAACATGCCAAGAAATCCTTTTGCTCTTTTATGGAACTTCATGTGAAGTTTCCAGAAGCCTGTCCGTAAATTTCACATTGCTCACAGATTTCCCTTACCCATTTTCTGGAAGACAGGCCATGATGCTGCAGAGATATTCCCCCCTGTGCCCCCAGCCTGCCACCCTTGTGCCCCCTCATGAAATCAGGTTCTCAGTCTGAAGTGAACACAGTTCTTCAAGTTTGTGATTCCTACTGAGCACAGGACTTTGGGTGCCAAAGCCCCCGGGGGTGCTCCTGGAGGCACGAGGTACCTGAGCGCCTGTTTCAGGAGGCAGGGGCAGAGCTGTGCTCCTGGAGCAGCCCTGGGCAGCAGCTGTGGCTGCTCCTGCTCCTGCTGCCCTCTCTCTGGGGCAGGTGCTCTAGGATTCACCATCACCTGCCCTCCTCCGTGTCACGTCCCCGGCCAGGGACGAGCCCAGGCCAGCAGCACGTGCTCCCCGAGAGCTCCCCGAGAGCCTTACCCAGGTGCTCTGCTCCTGCTGGAATCCATCCACGAGGGAAGGCTGTAGCTGGGATGGGAGGGGAACCAGGCTAAAGAACAGTTGTGAAAAGGCAGGGAACAGTTTCACCGGCCCCAGGTGCTGCGTAGGACCAGTAAATACCAATAACTCCCATGGGGATGCTCTCTCCTGCTCCCAGCAGTTGCATTCCAATGGAGTTTAAGCCTTGAGGTTCCTGTGGGAGGGGAGCATGCAGTGTGCTCAGTCCAGCCTGTAGCTGTAGGTGTCTCAGGATCACACACTTTGCTGTTCAGCACTTGTCTGATGATGCTTCAGTAGCACTTTCAAACCCACCCCCAAGTCTCCTCTTAGAAGCTTTGGTCTGATTTCCTGAGGCTGCACAGTGAAACACTGACTGGTGCAATCACTTGCTCCCAGGGTCTGCTCTGGGTTTGCTTTTTCCTCAGAAGTCACTCGGTTCTGTAGGTGTCGTCATTCCTGTGGGTGTTGATCTCCGTGAGATCTTTCAGCAGATGATGCAGTGGCTACTGTCAGCTGGTTTGCCATTTTTGCTTGTTTTGTTGCCTTTTTTTTTTTTTTTTTCACTTGAAACTGTGTCTTTCCTTTTTGACCTAGATTGATTTGGGAATTATTCGGGTGGGACTAACAGGCAGGGCAGTGTGAATCCTCAGGGAGGTTGCAGCGCTCTGGGCTGGTCCCTCCTGCCAGCCCGGAGCGGCGGCGGGGCCGGGGTCTGGCTGAGCTGTGCCAGCGGCTCCTGCGGGGCATTTCCAGCAGGAAACCCTCGCCAGAGGCCAAAACCCGCTGTGCATCCTCCCGGCAGCTGGGTCTGGCTGCTGTGCTCGGCCCCGGCAGCCCGGGCTCGGCAGGGCTGCTCTTACAGCCCGGGACTTCTGCACTTCCAGCAGCGGGTGGAGGTGTTCCTGTAGATATTTTGCAAAATGTTTTGTGCTTACTAGTGACACGTACACATCTATACATATATAAAAGGGATATATATATATATATATGTATAAAATATATATATTTATATATATAAAGGAAAGGATCCTTAACTGACACTAGAATTACTGGGCAGTGCATTTTCCTTTCTGATTCCTCTGTTTCCATGCACACAACTTCTGCCCTCCTCAGAAGTGACATGGCAGAGGGAGCAGAGGGGCTCGGAAACGCCTTAGGGGGGCGGTGGGGAAGCCCCCTCTGTGTGGAGGGGTCTCCGTGGCTGGGGGTGCTCCCGTGTGCCGGGATTTGGGTCCTGGTTTGGCTCAGCCGGCTCAGGTGCAGCTGCACACCTGGTGCCGCTGGCTCCGCGTCCTTGTGCGGGACCTTCCCCAGCAGCGTCACCTCCACCAGGGGCTGGCAGAGCCCTGTCCCGGGCTCCGTGCCCCTGTCCCGGGCTGTCAGAGCGCTGTCCCGGGCGCGGTGCCCCTGTCCGGGTTGGCAGAGCCCAGTCCCGGGCTGGCAGAGCGCTGTCCCGGGCTCTGTGTGCCCCTGTCCGGGCTCTGTGCCCCTGTCCCGGGCTGTCAGAGCGCTGTCCCGGGCTCGGTGCCCCTGTCCGGGTTGGCAGAGCCCAGTCCCGGGCTGGCAGAGCGCTGTCCCGGGCTCTGTGTGCCCCTGTCCGGGCTCTGTGCCCCTGTCCCGGGCTGTGTGCCCCTGTCCTGGGCTCTGTGCCCCTGTCCCGGGCTGGCAGAGCCCTGTCCCGGGCTCCGTGCCCCTGTCCCGGCTGCGCTTCCCTCCAGGAGAGCTCTTGGCACGCACCCCTTCTCGGAGCCCCGCAGAGCCAAAGCACAGCGCGGAACTGCTTTTTCTGAGGGAAGCAGGGCATCCTAAGCACAAACTCCTTTTCTTCCCAGAGTTTGGAGGGTTTTCGGGAAGGGCAGGCCAGGGGCCCGGGGGTGTTTGCGCCGCCGAGGGGCTGTGCCTGGGGCCGGCATCTCTCGGCTGCGCTCGGTGCCCCCCGAGGCCGGGCAGAGCCCCCCGAGGCCGGGCAGAGCCCCCCTGCTCCCCTGCTCAGCTCACCCCGGCCCCAGCATGCTCCCATGCCTTCCGTGAATGTAGCACTGCGGCTGTCCTGCACAGGGAATGCCGGATCGGCAGCCGAGAATGTGAAGAGGGTTTATAGGGTGAAAAGAATTCTTGAAGAAATGTCTCTGACAAAGTTTATTTTTGATGTAGAGAGGCAGTGCTTTGTAGTTCCTGGTGACCTATGTCTGTTGTAAATAATGTATATTTAATTTATTGCTATGGTAGCAGATTGTTATGTATAAAACGAAAGGTTCACAAATGTATATTTTGTTGCTTAAATGTGTCTTTGCAAAATTCACAATAAATAACATATTTTGTGTCCATATACGTGCTCTGTGTGTGTGGCAATGCAGCGACAGCTTCAGAGGAGCTTTTTGGGAACTTTCCTTTGCAAACCAGGTGAGGGCACGGAGCTGGCAGAGCCGTGGCAGTGGGAGCTGGGGGAGCTCCGGTGACATCAAACACGGGATTAGAGGAATCCTGGAGCACAGTGACCTGTGAGTGGGGAAATCTCTGCTGGTGCTCCCAGCTGGGGCTGGAGCAGCGCAGGAGCAGCCAGCCACCCTCCTGCAGACACTCAGCCATTTGACCAGGAGAGCTGTCTGAGCTGGAGCTGCTGTCCCATAAATCTCCAAATACCCGGTGTGGCAGCAAAGCTGTGCCAGCCCAGCTCCCCTCGGGGCACCAGCCCTCTGGGCAGCCCGGTGAGCTAACAAGGAAATCGCATTTTCACTCTCCAGCTCCTCAGCCTCTCTTCAAACCCATTTTATTTTATTTTTTTCTTTTAATACTTTAGCAGGGTTGGGGAAAAGGCTGCTGTGGGAGAGTCTGAGAGCTTGGTGTGTGCCTGCCTGGTGCCACAGGCAGTGGCTCCACGGTGCAAACCCACTGACAGCTCCTCCCCTCCAGAGCAGGGCCAGCCCTGAGAGGTTTAAAAAGTTCAGCTTTAAGATTAAATAGTGCGAGACAGTGTTGACAGATAAACAAACAGTTCAGACATATGTTTTAGAGGATTAAAAAAATGTTTTCTAGACCTGGCAGATGGGCAAGTTGGGAAATAATGGCTGAGTATTCCAGCCAGAATTTGGAAAGTTTCCCACAGAATCAGAACTCCTAAGTTTGGTGGGAGGGAGACTCAAATACTGCAGACAGCTGGAAAACACACTCAAAACAGGCTGCTCAGCCAGAATTGCTTCACTCACTTTTATAGTTTAACAAACTGTGAGTGCTGTGGAAACAAGACCCTAAATCCAGGTTTCAGAGGAGTTTGCTTAGAGTCTTTCATTCACTGGGCTCCAGCTTTCCAGAGCCTTCAGGGCTGCCAGTGGAAAGTTTCCCACAGAATCAGAACTCCTAAGTTTGGTGGGAGGGAGACTCAAATACTGCAGACAGCTGGAAAACACACTCAAAACAGGCTGCTCAGCCAGAATTGCTTCACTCACTTTTATAGTTTAACAAACTGTGAGTGCTGTGGAAACAAGACCCTAAATCCAGGTTTCAGAGGAGTTTGCTTAGAGTCTTTCATTCACTGGGCTCCAGCTTTCCAGAGCCTTCAGGGGAGTGATTCTGCCAGCAAACTGCAGGTGTGACAAACTGCAGCTGTGACAAACTGCAGGTGTACAAACTGCAGATGTGTGCAGATGTGACAAACTGCAGGTGTGACAAACTGCAGGTGTGACAAACTGCAGCTGTGACAAACTGCAGCTGTGACAAGCATCAGATGTGGCAAACTGCAGCTGTGACAAGCTACAAGTGTGACAAACTGCAGCTGTGGCAAACTGCAGCTGTGACAAACTGCAGCTGTGACAAGCATCAGGAGTGGCAAACTGCAGGTGTGACAAACTGCAGCTGTGACACGCATCAGGTGTGGCAAACTGCACGTGTGACAAGCTACAAGTGTGACAAACTGCAGCTGTGGCAAACTGCAGCTGTGACAAACTGCAGATGTGACAAGCATCAGGTGTGACAAACTGCAGCTGTGGCAAACTGCAGCTGTGACAAACTGCAGGTGTACAAACCGCAGGTGTGACAAGCTGCAGGTGTGACAAGCTACAAGTGTGACAAACTGCAGCTGTGGCAAACTGCAGATGTGACAAACTGCAGGTGTGACAAGCATCAGGTGTGACAAACTGCAGCTGTGACACGCATCAGGTGTGGCAAACTGCAGGTGTGACAAGCTGCAGGTGTGAGCAGAGCCAGAGCTCCGTGGTGCTGCCCACGGTGGTGTGCAGAGGTGCACAGCCACAGGAGGATGACTTCACTGCCTGAGCACCTTCTCTGTCTCCCAGGGATGCTCACTGTGCCCGGCCTGGCCACAGAGGGTGATTTGATCACTCAGTGACAGGAGCAGACGTGAAGACCCCAACTAAAAGTGGTTGGATGTTCTAAGGCTGTTCCAAATCATCTTGAGAGCTTATCAGATCTGGCAGGGCAGCATGGGGCAGCTGTTAGGAAAGATGATAAGACCTTGTCTGTCTCTTTAATGAAAGTGTGGAGCTAATCATGCTGAACAGTGCTTAGTGGAAAACCTCCTGAATGCAATTAATCACGTAATCAAGTAATTTTCTAGGCACTGTAGGCAAGTAGAAGGACGAATGAAATCACAGAATGCTTAGTTAGGAGGGAAGTTTAAAGATCACCTACTGAGTCCCTGATAAGGGCAGGGACATCCACTAGGCTCAGGTGCTCAAAGCCTCATCCAGTGTGGCCTTGAGCTCTTCCAGGGATGTGGCTCTGCAAAGCTGCTGCTCTGGATCCAGCTTGGACAATGGCCCCGTGCAGCTCAGCCAAGCGAGGCACCAACCGACAAAAATCAGGTTTGTTCTTAATTGAAACTGGGGACAAGAAAATAACATTTGGTTTTGGGTCTTTTTTTTATTTAATGCCTGCAAACTCTTGATACAATATAAAAAAGCTGGATGTTTCCCGCGGTCCCTTGTCTGTGTGGCTGGATGCAGCCTCCAAGGATGAGCTGTGTGTTCCCTGGCACAGCCAGGACACTGCAGCCCACAGCAATCCCAGGCTGAAAACCTCTGGGAAGGCTCCGGATGGCAAAGAGAAGAAAAAACAACTATTCCTGATCACGTACTTTAATCATGGCCCCGTGAGTTTATGTGACATGAGGTTTTGGTATTTATAGCCAGACTTGTGCTTTACTTTTTTATATAATAGTGGATGTTTATTTCTCTCACCCATTACATCCCATCCCAGAAACTGCACAAATCTGTGACAAACACAAAGTGAGGCTGATGTACTTTCTTTGTAAATTTAGAAGGTTTTGGCACCTGTGGGTGTCTGTAGCACACAACTCAGTCTGCTGTTGAGCTACTGAAAATGTAAATCCTTCAGTATTTAATTTCAGTAGTGACTGAATTTTTCCACGTGGGTGGGGGAAGAATTTTCCAGTTTCATTCCTCGGAGCTGCCGAACTCGGAGGTTTCCCCTTCCGGACAGAAGGTGGCACTGGAAGTACAGGAATGAATTGTCGCCACCTGCTTGCCTTCACACGCGGGCTGACTAAATGGGGAAAACCGGAATAAACACCTGTACCTGTGGGGCTTGGAGCCTGCACTGCTGACTAAATCGGGAAACCCGGAATAAACACCTGTACCTGTGGGGCTTGGAGCCTGCCCTGCTGGCTAAATCGGGAAAACCGGAATAAACACCTGTGCCTGTGGGGCTTGGAGCCTCCCTCCTGACTAAATGGGGAAAACTGGAATAAACACCTGCCCCTGTCGGGCTTGGAGCCTGCACTGCTGACTAAATCGGGAAACCCGGAATAAACACCTGTACCTGTGGGGCTTGGAGCCTGCCCTGCTGGCTAAATCGGGAAAACCGGAATAAACACCTGTGCCTGTGGGGCTTGGAGCCTCCCTCCTGACTAAATGGGGAAAACTGGAATAAACACCTGCACCTGTCGGGCTTGGAGCCTGCACTGCTGACTAAATAAATGGGGAAAACCGGAATAAACACCTGTACCTGTGGGGCTTGGAGCCTGCACTCCTGACTAAATGGGGAATACCGGAATAAACACCTGTACCTGTGGGGCTTGGAGCCTGCACTGCTGACTAAATGGGGAAAACCGGAATAAACACCTGTACCTGTGGGGCTTGGAGCCTGCACTGCTGACTAAATGGGGAAAACCGGAATAAACACCTGTACCTGTGGGGCTTGGAGCCTCACTCCTGGCTAAATGGGGAAAACTTGAATAAATACCCGTACCTGTGGGGCTTGGACTCCTGACTAAATGGGGAAAACCGGAATAAACACCTGTACCTGTGGGGCTTGGAGCCTCACTCCTGACTAAATGGGGAAAACTGGAATAAACACCTGTACCTGTGGGGCTTGGACTCCTGCCTAAATGGGGAAAACCGGAATAAACACCTGTACCTGTGGGGCTTGCAGCCTGCACTGCTGACTAAATGGGGAAAACCGGAATAAACACCTGTACCTGCAGGGTTTGGAGCCTGCACCCTTGACTAAATAAATGAGGAAAACCGGAATAAACACCTGTACCTGCAGGGTTGGAGCCTGCACTGCTGACTAAATGGGGAAAAGCGGAATAAACACCTGTACCTGTGGGGCTTGGACTCCTGCCTAAATGGGGAAATCCTTTCCTCCTTTGCAGCGGCGGAGGCGCTGCGGGAGCGCTGCACTCGCGGCTGAGGGATGCAGCAGCTGCTGCCGGGGGAAGCTCAGCTGCAACAGGCGTGTTTGTGTTCACAGCGCTGCTGATGTTTCCTTTACAACTTTGCCAAATGCAGCGAGTTTAAAGAAACTTTGTCGCAGTGAGAAGAAACGAGCCGGGCTTGCTGGAAGTGAAGAGCCGAGAGCTCCAACGGGGCCAAACACGGGTCTGGCCGAGGCTCGGGAGCTGGCTGCACATCTGGCAGCTCTCTTACAGCCAGCGCCACGGCCTTTAATCTCCATGCTGTTTCTGGCTCTATTTTTGTGTCCAGGAGGAGAGGAAAGCCAGGAAAGGAAAACTGATAGAGCTGTCTCTGTGCTTGCCTGGCACTGGGACCTGCCAGAGAAATTGTGTGGCTCTGTGGAGCTCTGCAGGGCTGCACTCCACCCTCTGAGCCCTCTCCCTTGGACCCTCCCCGGGGTACACCTTCCCCCTCCCAATCTCCAGCAAGCTCCTTCTGGGAGCTCCCACTGCTCCTGGCTGCTGCAGCAGCTCCTTCCTGCACCCTCCAGGCCATTGCCCTCTGTCACCCAAGTCAGAAGCTGGCTGCAATTTGGGGTGCAGAAAAGGCCACTTTAACCGTGCCTCCAGCTGTCTGACAGGGACTGTGATGCTTTGCTTCATCTGGTGCTCTGTCTGA